GCGATATGAGTTATGCAAAGTAATGTTCTGAAGACAAATGTGTATTTTTTTTTTTTTTTTTTATTTAGCAATTCAATGTGATGTGCAAAGTAAAATATCTTATATAAATTATTATTTGATTTTGGAATAGTATTTTGACGGAAATATGTGGTTGAGAAATAAGGAAAAATTTTGAGTTTACATGTAATAGGAAAGAGAAAATTGTATTTTAGAAATAATTGAGACCAAATAAGGGGGCCTTTGTTTGAGCCTCATTTTTTTCATCAAAATGTATTTTTGAATAGATCATACATTTTTCAATAAATTAATATTACACACAATTTCAAAACCTTTCCTTATTTTTTAACTACACATTTTCTATCATAACACTACTACAAAATGCATTTTTTTGAAAAAAAAAAAGAGCTCAAATAAGCCCTTGAATGACAGATTTCTAATCCTGCATTACAATTGACACATACTTTTTCCATATCTTTTGCACTTGTTACGAATGAGAGTTCGACTTCTACAAATTTGTGAATATTGTCTGCAATTGCCAATGTTGGACAAGTAACTCCATAACGCACTGTGAACACGTACTCAAAAGACTACACTATTCAATTCTAAGCCCCAGTTTGGTGGCGTGGCGTCGACAAGTCAACGTCGACAATCAACGATCGTAAGAGCGGGGTCGTTTATTAATATTTAATTATATAATATTAAAAGTTATTTAATATATATGTAAACGCAGTAAAACGTAAGAATATGCAAAATACTAAAGGAATATGCAATACAACCTACTATGTAACCGTAATTTTAGACAACTGTATTCTATGGGATCTCATATTTTAAAAACGTTGCAATATTGCCTTATTCTCATTTTTTTTCCAAAAATCTCTTTCTCCGTGTAAACCACCAAATTGTCGTTCAACCAGTCGTCTCTCATTTTGTTGCTCAAGTCCCTCTTGATTAGATTCATAGTAGAGAATACTATTTCAACACTTGCAGTTACCACATGTAAAATCAAAACCAAGATGATCAGCCTATAAACCAATGGAAAATAACCAGAACTTCTTGTTTCGACCAACTTCTGAGCCACACAAAAAATGCTATTGAGATTCAAGAAAGCTTCATTCATTCTCGCAAATATAAGGAATTTGTCAAGTTGAGGTCGACGCAAAAAGAGCTCTTCATTATTAAAGTCCAAATGATACAACTGAACAAGACGAATCAATTTATCCCTATCAAATGCTGCAAATGAATCTCTTAGATTTATAATTCCGAAGGATACAACTGAGCAAGATGTAGCAATTTATCCCTATCAAAAGCTGCAAAGGAAACTCTTGGATTTATACACGAAATGCAAGTTAGGAGCTCAGTAGCTGTTTCGAAAAAACGATCATTCAACTCTTGCAAGATTGAGTTTATCACATGACAATACAAATCAACGTAAAAATGATGAAAATAAGTCACCTGCTGAGTTACACGCCTAGGTCGACCTTTCAATATCACAATATCCTCCATATTGGGCACTAAAATATGTCCAACACCACAAAACTCAATCATCATACTCAACAAATTATCCCAGCCATTGTCTCTCATATCCTGCAATGCATATTGACACACATTCAATAACTTCATAGCATTCTCAATATCCTGATCCTTTTTCTGTAAGGCTTGTGAAAGGTCGTTTGTGATTGCAATAATTTCAAACATGAAGTGAAGACTGAACACAAACTCAAAGTCCTGCAATTGATTTCTGATATGAATTTACGCCATCTTCTGATATATCCTCAAGAACATCATGATAGCATTAAACATATTAATAACACGAGTAATTGTCAGTAGGTGTGAGCCCCATCTAGTATCACCTGGGCGTGCCAAACTCATTTCTTGAAACTTACCACTCCCACCACAAAGTTCCCCAATATTAAGCTTCTCCAAAATATCGGCATGGTAACTTGTTCGAAGAGCATCTACACGCTTACATGATGCAGTGCACCCACCAAATTCACAATAATAGAAAGCATGTTAAATAAATCACCAAACATATTATTCTTACGTACCACAAAAATAACTGCCAACTGAAGTTGGTGAGCAAAGCAATGGACATACATAGCATAGGGGTTCTCTATTAAAATTAAACTTTCAAACCATTGAACTCGCCTGACATATTGTTTGCTCCATCGTAACCTTGATCTCTCAAGCGAGATATGCTCAACCCATACGTAGAAAACATCGCATCAATGACATCCTTCAGTGATTGGGCACAAGTATCAACGACATGGGGAATGCCCAAAAAACTCTCATTCACGAGCCCACTTTGGTCAGTAAACCTCAAAACAACTGCAATTTGTTCTTTTATAGAATTATCACGAGCCTCATCAACTAAGATTGAAAACGAACATTCACCCATCTCATTGATAATAGCCCTTGTTATCTCTACGGCACAACAATTAATCAAGTCTTTTTGGATCTTTAGTGAAGTCATCTGGTCATTTCCAGGAGCATTACTGAATACTACTTGTTTAACTTCTTCACATCGAGCTGCAACCAGTCTAGTAAGTCAATTAGATTTCCTCTATTGATAGACTCTTTGGATTTGTCATGACCACGAAATGCCAATCTTTGCGTCAAGAGGAATCCAGTACAATCTAACACTGCAGTCAATCTTGTCCTACAAATTTTTTTTTTTGACAACTACTTTGGCTGGAAATAACGTAAGAGATACTTTGCTTTTGACTCATCAAGTTGGTACACTTTGCGAATGCTTGATTATGAGCACTATCAAAGAGGCGGACTTGATCTTTCAATGTCTTTTTGTGCTTCCAATCCCTAAAGCCGATCTTAGTGAATACATGTCCACCCCCTTGACCTCCTCTATCCGGTTTGAACAAGTAGTAATACAAATAATACGCCGCATCCTTTTCTACATTGTACTCTAGCCAATCAAATTCAGCGAACCATTCTTTTCGAAAACACCTGTTATCACTTCCCATCTGTCTTCTTGGAAAGTCATGTCCATGTGGTTGACAAAGACTTTTCTCTAAGTATGCCATCCTAATATCATCTCTGATATTACGATCATATGACTCAATCGGGGGGCATTTCCCTGGATCAGATACAAGATCATCCGAATTGAATTGTGCCCGAGACTTTTTCGTGTTATCTAACACGTCAGCTACTCGACTAGTACAAGTGGCAGGACTGGATGCACCATTAGAACTGGAAGAAATAGGTACGAACTTCCGTTTGGGTTGAAAAAATAGTTCCATAATCTACAATTGCAAGTGTGCAACATAAATCAATCCTGAAATCAATGCAACTAATTTCTCAAGAATGATGAATGTATGTAAACTTAATTTCAATTTGAAATTCATCTACTTTTGTCATACATTTCAATTCCCCCAATTCCAAACCCTAAATCCAATTCCAAATTCAATTCCAATTTTATTTTCCCCCAATTACAAACCCTAAACCCTAAATCCAATTCCAAATCCAATTTTATTTTCCCCCAATTCCAATTTTAATTTCCCCCAATAATTTAATTCCAATTCATAAATCATATTTCAAACAAATTAAAAACTATTACAAAATCATGATTTCAAAACTCAAACAGATAATAACACCAAAAACCAAAAGAAAAAAAAAGAAAAAAAAAACGATGGCAACAACCGACAGACAGAACAAAAAAATAAACTTACTAACTCAAGATTAAATTGGTGAACGGGAGAAGACGGTGGTCGGTGGTGGTGGAGAAGACGGTGGTCGGTGGTGGTTGGCGGCAACGGGCGACGGCACGGTGATGGGCTAAAGGCAGGCAGTCGTAGTCACTCGAAGCAAGTAGCAAATCGTCTCTCACTCTCAGCCCCAGCCCAATAACAAAACAAAGCCCCAACAGCCCCACCATTGCCCAGCCAGCGAAGACGAACAGTCACTCAGTCAGGCACCAAAAAAATTTTCGACGGAGCCCAGCACGCGCGACCGCCCTCCCAGCAGGGTGCCGGGTCCGCCACTATTTGTTGGGGATTAAAATTAGAATTTTAATATATTTTAATAAAAAAATTTGAAATGTGTGATTAAAAAATTGTGAAATTCATCAAATATGTGTTCATACTGATTGATTGACTTGACTTTGATTACAATATGATTTAAATTAAACAACTTGCGTTTTATAAAATTAACAAATTTGCATGCAACATATTTTTCTTCAAAAAACAAAAAATCATTTTTTTTCCGCAATTTTCGAATTTATTAAAACAAAAAAAAAAAAAACTACAGCCTACAGGAAATTAGCCTAGCCCCAGCAGCCCCCCCACTGCCCAGTCGGAGAAGACGAATAGTCACTCAGTCAGGCACCAAAAAATTTTTCGACGGAGCCCAGCACGCGCGACCGCCCTCCCGACAGGGTGCCGGGTCCGCCACTATTTGGTGGGGATTAAAATTAGAATTTTAATATATTTTAATAAAAAAATTTGAAATGTGTGATTAAAAAATTGTGAAATTCATCAAATATGTGTTCATATTGATTGATTGACTTTGACTTAGATTACAATATGATTTAAATTAAACAACTTGCGTTTTATAAAATTAACAAATTTGCATGCAACATATTTTTCTTCAAAAAACAAAAAATCATTTTTTCCGCAATTTTCGAATTTATATCGAGTCAAAGTAAATGGGTCAACAATCAACATCAATAAAAACCCTGGACTCCCCTTCTCTCCAGCCCCTCCGCAAGCTTGTAATCAAGTCGACGTGGCGAACTCCTATTGGCCAACTTTACGTGGAATCAAATGTTATTGGCTGAAGCAACTCGACACCACAGTTTCCCAGATCTTTATATACAATCGTACATACATACCTAAATATCACTCTTTAGGTTCTAGAGACTTCTTCGTCTCCTCTGTGCGCACTCAAATCGATCGATAGATAAAATTCTGCATTTTTTCCCCCTTATTTTGAGTTTTCGTGATAAAATTTTCTCGGATTTGAGGCTCGAAATTTTTTAGGTTAACAGAATGGAGGATTCGAAACGAAAGATTTGGACTATGCAGTATGTCTTACTTTTGTTGATCGGTTTATGCATTTCTCAGCTCTACGCTTCTGACGATGTGGTAAGACGCTTGTTTTATTTGTATGTGAAAGTGTAATTTGGCTGAATACCTAAAAAATTGCTTCTTCAAATTGAGCATAGGTCGGCAGCTGCAATAGCAAGGGATCTGATTTAGTTCGTTTACAATGTTCTGGATCTGTGGTTTTTATGAGATACTGAATGGAATTTTTCAATTGTTTGCTATTTATAGAAATTCTATGACTCGTTTGACGATGCATTTGATGGGCGGTGGGTTGTGTCCAAGAAGGAGGAATATACAGGTATGATTTACGTGGATCTATTAATTGATTTAGTTTTTTATTTGTTCGAGAATGTGTTTTAGTTTTAATACTGAATTAAAAGCTTTTTTATTTTTTGGCTGGCTTTGTGCTTGGGATTCAGTACTTTTCTTGATTTGAATTTCAACTTGCGTATTATAGATCAAAATAATTGTCTTCAAACTTAAATTTAATAAGTTGTTAGGTATGTAAGGTTTCTACTGGTAACAATATGTTTTAAAAAATTACCATTTTTTATGGTAGGTGTCTCAGTGTCGATGCAGAATAGTTGCAATTTTGTTGTAGAAGATCAACAACTGATTTTATTGTCAAAATTTCACATAAATAGTATGCTGAGTCTGGATTTTTACTCGTATAAAATGAGCAAATCCTTTATACCACAACCAACGGTTTGGGAATTAATATGTTTGAAATGTCTCTTTACTGAATTGAACTTTTCTGAAAAACTAGTGATGAATTGAACTTGCCTTCCAGGATGCTAAATGCTTCTTGGTTACTTAAAGTTCTACTACTTAATGCCGTAACATACAACATATTTCTGATGCTGCAATTTTTGTAGCAAAAAAGTCAAGAATTTAATTTATAGACGTAACTTTGTATAATAGTACAAAAATGAGCACATCATTTGTACTAAAACCTGTGGTTTGGGATTTTACATGGTTGGAATCTCTGTTTATTGTGTTGAACTTTTCTGAAATACTAGCGACTAAGCGAACTTTCACTTGAGGATGCAAAATACTGTTGATCGCTTGAAATTCTTCTACTTGATGCTGTACCATACAGTGTATACCTCGTCTGAAGCAGAGGATGATTATACAACTGCATTTCTTATCAATGACCGGATTGTCGTGTTGCATGAATACATTAGCATAGGTTGAAGTTATTCGATAAGCTGTGGTCAGCATTAATTGAACGTATGTTTATTTGACAATTAATGGCTTAATTGCTGAGGATGCAATAATTATGCTTTATGCTGATGTATAAATTGTTCTCAGGCGTGTGGAAACACTCAAAGAGTGAGGGACATGATGATTATGGGCTTCTTGTGAGTGAGAAGGCCAGGAAACATGCCATTGTAAAGAAACTAGATGAACATATTAACCTCAAGGATGAGACGGTTGTCCTTCAATATGAGGTTCGTTTCCAGAATGGTCTTGAATGTGGTGGTGCTTATCTCAAGTACCTTCGTCCACAGGATTCCGGCTGGACTCCAGAGGGATTTGATAACGAATCTCCTTACTCCATTATGTTTGGACCTGATAAATGTGGAGCTACAAACAAGGTTCACTTTATTTTGAAGCACAAGAACCCTAAGAGTGGGGAGTTTGTTGAACACCACCTTAAGTATCCACCCTCTGTTCCTTCTGACAAGTTGACCCACGTGTATACTGCCATCTTGAAACCAGATAATGAGCTGAAAATCTTGATTGATGGAGAGGAGAAGCAGAAGGTTAATTTTCTCTCAGCAGAAGATTTTGAACCGCAACTCATCCCTTCTAAGACCATTCCCGACCCAGATGATAAGAAACCTGAGGATTGGGATGAGAGAGCAAAAATCCCAGATCCAGAGGCCAAAAAACCAGATGACTGGGATGAGGATGCTCCAATGGAGATCGAAGATGAAGATGCTGTGAAACCTGAGGGATGGCTGGATGATGAGCCCGAGGAGATCGATGATCCTGAGGCCACGAAACCAGAAGATTGGGATGATGAGGAAGATGGTGAATGGGAGGCTCCTAAAGTTGATAACCCCAAGTGTGAAGAGGCACCTGGGTGTGGAGAGTGGAAAAAACCAATGAAAAGGAATCCTGCTTACAAGGGTAAATGGCATGCACCCCTCATCGACAACCCCAATTACAAGGGTATTTGGAAGCCTCAGGAAATTCCAAACCCTGACTACTTTGAGCTCGAGAAGCCAAACTTTGAGCCCATTGCAGCCATTGGCATTGAGATCTGGACAATGCAAGATGGCATATTGTTCGACAATATTTTGATAGCTTCTAATGAGAAAGTTGCAGAAACCTACCGGGCTACTGCATGGAAGCCAAAATTTGAAGTGGAGAAAGAGAAACAAAAGGAGGAGGAATCTACTGATTCAGAGGGTCTTAAAGGGATCCAGGTAACTAGTTAGATAATCCTACTCTATGCATGCTTTTTGCAATTTGCTTTCTGCTACTTTGAACATTAAGTACTTCCATTTGTTGCAGAAAGTTGCATTTGACTACCTTTACAAGATTGCGGACATCCCTGTCTTGGGTGATCACAAGGTCAAGGTCTTGGTAAGTCATCGGACAACAGTATTCTCGGGAACAAGTGTTTTTGAGTTACATGCAATTGCCTAAGACCTGGACTTTGATTTGCAGGAGCTTATTGAGAAGGCTGAGAAACAACCAAACCTGACAATTGGAGTCCTCGTCTCCATTATAGTTGTCATCTTCTCTCTTCTATTGAAGATCATCTTTGGTGGGAAGAAGCGGCCTGTAAGTCATTAGTACCCAATGTGATTTACACTTTCTCTGGGTATATACGTCTTCCATTCATTCCTCGTGTATTATTTTGCTTATTTCAGGCTCAAGCGAATGTGGAGACAAAGAAATCCGATGTTGCTGAGACTTCAAACAATCAGGGTGCTAGCACTGAGGAGGAGGTGCAAAACGAGGAGAAGGAAGAGCAAAACGAGGATGCTGCTGCTGCTGCTCCTCGCAGGCGGAACGCCAGGCGTGACAGTTAGGGAATGAAGGTCCAAATGGAAGTTAGATAGAAATGATCTGTGGTCACCATTGATAAAACTCAATAGATTTTGAACTTCAGATGTTTTTCCATCCAGGAATATTTTTACGTCATGACACCAATGCAATTTTTTGCTTGTTTAGGTTTTTTATAGACTATGGCAATGTATATTAGACAATCTACTACTGAGATTATGGTGCTTTTCTACGTGGTTGAGGAAATTTTGGAAGTTTATGATTTGCCTATGGTGCACTTTGATTTTGAGCTTCAAGTCAGATTTCTTTGCTCTGTTGCTCCTCTTACCGTTTCTTTTGTATTGTTCCAGTTTTGATTATGAGAAGGTATGATTCGGAGACGAAAAGATGAGTCCATTTTTTCCCTCATTAGGGTTTGGATCTTTTGACTAAGGTTAAAAAGCTTCTACACTTGAAAGAGAATATTTTCAGGACATTTTACGTAAATACAAGTTCTGTAAACAAAATTTAAAAAAGCACTGGTATTTGTAACATATTGTAAGAGTCGTGAAGATGTTTTGAAAAAGAGTAGTGCTATTTAAAACTATCGATGTTACAACACCGTTCTAGGTTACACTAATTCCATATCGTAAGAGCTGTGAAGATGTTATGAAAAACAGTAATGTTAATTAAACCACCGATCTTATATCATCATTCTAGGTTACACTAAGTGTCCTCCTCAAAATAAGAGGTACGATTAAATGAATTAGGAACTATTACAAAATGGCCATTCTGAAAACTGCGAAGTGAAACTATCACAGATTTTCTGGCAACCATTTCTTTGGGATTTAGGCAAGGCTACAAGAAGTTTAGAATATAGACAACATAGATTAATTCACCTTAGATTTTCTATCACTGGGTATTGATAATTTACTAATATTTTCCGATTATGTAGCTTGGCTAAGGAATAAAAACTTTCGCTACTTGAATTCAATTTCAGTCTCTGATTTCCTTTACGGAGATCTTTCCCCCACTTCAAAGACAGATATGACTGCTTGAAAGCAGATTGATTGGCCGGACTTCAGGACAGGGGAGCAGAAAAGGGTCAAACATGGACAAGGAGACAGACGCAGGTCTGCCCTTTTCGTTTGTTTTGTGTTACTGCTAGATTCGCAGGAAGTCCACATGGCGTCCGCGAGGTTAACAGATATCACATTATTAAGCAAGAAGAAAGTGCTTCATTTCGCAGGAAGTCCACATGGCGTCCACGAGGTTAACAGATATCACATTATTAAGCAAGAAGAAAGTGCTTCACCCAAATCACAAAGCCATAGAACGAGGCTCGATACCTTCGCCCACTTCATTATGATAATCCAGATACTAGCGAATCTATCAACATAGTCGCCGGAAGGAAAGTCAGCTTCAGTGATGAAGCAGTGTCCAATGAACCCAAGAGACTTCGAAACAAAAATTATTTGCTATACTCCACCCTCGTCAAGACGAAGTTTGAACACGTGAATACAATATCGAATATTTTTGTCACAAGACGACTAGACCACCATCATGTATTTAGAGTGAAATTTTAGGAAAAACTTTTATGATAATCGTTAGCATCCTAAATGGAATGACTTGACTTGATTAAAGAAGACAAACTACAATTTTTTAAAGGAAAATCAAGACTATACAAAAAGAGAGAGGAACTAAAATTGGTAAAAGAATAATTTAGGAAACATTTCCCTCAGAAGGAGTAAAATAGTCAGTAGAGTCGCATGCCTTTTGAATATCTTTAAACAATTCAGTGCATGTCCTGGGCTTGGAACGAATCCTCTTAAACATACAAAACACCCTATAAACAAACAAACAAACAAACAGACAAAAACTATTTCCCAGTTGGGGAGAAAGACAATACAAAAAGTCAAAATTTTTAAATTACTCAATGTCATCAGAGACAGGAGGTTGCATTATTAACAGTTCTATAAATTAAAAAAGAAAGAAAGAGTTCCAAAAATGTAAAACAAAATTGTTCTCTCACCTCCTAACGACAAACCCTTTCTTATTTTTATTTTTTGCTTCTAGGCTCGAGTTTTATGCCTGTAAATTGAATATAATTCTGGCAGGTAGAATTTGTATACAGGCAAGGAAAGCTTGTGTTCAACGCTTTCCGGCAGATTTCCTCAGAGGTGGTGCTGACTCCTCATCATCCGACTCAATATCACCATACTCCCACATGCCTAGTCTCTTGTCTCGTGCTTCTGTCTGGAATTTTTCCAACTCATCCATAGCGAGCTGCCTATCCTTGGACTCCCATCTCCTTCGTTTCTCCAACCTCGCAAGTCCATCCTGAAAATTTATATATTTGATTGTATTTAAGCAGGTAACTACACGAGAAGCAGAAGCAAAATATAATATCAATAAACAATTGATCCTGTTAAAGATTAAGCCCTAATCCCCTACTGTACAAAGAAATATAATCGAAAAAATAAAATAAAAGTAAACATGGATTAATATGGTTCGCCATCAACATATAGCTATTACGCAAGCAAAAGAAATTCCTTTATATAGTAGGAACACTCGGGAAACCTAATGCAACTATGGAATACCATAAATCTGCGGTTGAAGGAATAATTGTAACATGATTAATCTCCAAGGATCAACAAATCCAACTAGTGTTTTCATGAATTTGTTTAGGCATACTTAGTTCTACCCACTTTCCCCATTATATAGAGACCTATAATCAATATCTATGGTCACCTATTAAACAGGTAACAATTTGCCATGACCATCTCTTTGGATATACTATACTGAAAGGAAGTTGGGATGTTGATCTATTAGTCACAGTACAGGAGACAAGCTTAAAAGAGCAAAGTTAACAAAAAAAATAAAGACAGAGAAATAGAAGTACGAACCTGCAGCATGGTAGCATTTATGCTAGCATCAGCTTCTGGATCAATCAAAGTCACCATGAATATGGTCCCGGTTCCTTGTCCTTTAACTTTGCCGCCTGATGTGTCCCTTTCTTCAATTATGGCCTTGAATTCTTTTGGACCACTTAGCAAGTGTTCACTCAGCCGAAAAGCTGCTTCTTGACCATAATCCTCCTCCAAGGTTGGAACCTTAAGATATGCAAGACTGCACAGCTGAGCAACACCCGGGGCAGATGATACTGAATGATCAATAGGACGCAGCTGACTGAAAGTAACAGCTTCTTGGTTTCCATAATCAACGTAAAACACCTCAAATTTGTCGTTTGAAGACTCCACAACTCCCCGAGGAGCATTTACAATCTCCAGATTCCAATTAAGAGTACATTAGAAAGATTAACAAAGTAGAGATGTGTTTTGAATAATAAAATTAATGTAGACAAAAGAACACATTAAAATGTTTCATAAAAGATGGTCTGGCAGTATAACAATAAGGGTTAATTGCTAACACAACTTAACAGAGAATGCATCTTCATGGCTCAACGGATATTGAATGAGAAAACTGAAATGATTGAAGCATAAATTACAGAATAATTTTAGCAGTTCTGGTGATGAGTTGTGCCATATGCAGGGGAATGAAAGATCACAAGATCTAAAATAACAAACAACCACGACATGGCAAGTGGACAAGTTCAGGCAACAAATTACCAGACTTTTACATTTCCAAGGATTATAAGAATGAGTTTAAAAAATACCAATCAAATTGGATAATATGTTGCCCATTATCTGAGAACATTCTGACATTTAGTTGTATTTAAGTTATCACACTTCCACCAAACACCAGCCACCCGCAAGTGCTAAGGGTAACATATAATAGACTTTCTGAAAGTAGTTTCTCAATCCCACATGCGAACTTCCCAGGACATAAAAACAACAAACTAGGAATTAAAAACAAGCGAGGATTTCAAGTTGCGTACCATTGCACGGTTCCAAGAATTATCGGCACTAAACTGAGCTAGAACAATGTCACCCTTTTTCGGATTGAAGGCACCAAGTACAGGAGCTTCTTGAAGGTTTAAGGAAGCAAGCTGCTTCTGAATGGAGGCCACTTTCTGATCAGCAACTGGCTGGACATAAAACTGACCACCTCCCAAGACTTCGGTAACCACCACCTTAAGATAAATATATATTATCAGATGTCATTAAAAAAGCATCAAATACAATCCCAGAAGTGCAATTGCAGATACATATTATGCAGCACCTTAAGCTCTTCTTTCTGACGTCTTTCAACGGATGAACCATTAGAAACGTCTTCTCCTTCAACGTAATTCTCCCAGATCTGCAATAAAATACAAATTAGCAGCCAATTGACTAATAACAATCATTATAAGAAAAAAATCATGTTACTCACCTTCAACTTCTTCTTTTTTGCTGACTGCTCAGCCTGTACCAGAAGGTGAGCATCAGGGATCCTGTCAGTGCCAAAAGAAGTTTGAAGCTTTGCCAATCCCGCTTCTAAAAGCGTGACTGCCACATTGGTTCTAGCCTCCCACAACGTCCCCAAGAAAGTTCCAGTTCTATCAACAGTTTCTACTTCAATCTGAGTGTAAGAAGAATAGATTAACCAGGAAGGCATGAAAAGATACAAAAGTAAAGAAGCATGATGAGAGGACTGCAGTACCTCAACATCCCTCTGCATTATCTTCCGCCTCATAAGTGCAATGGCCTCATCAGAATACTGTTCATCACGGCCTGGACATCTAACACCAGAGAACGAGAAAGCAATACTGCATGTTTCCTTTGGGATATACAGTTTAAACCGATGACCACTAAGAACGTATTCGACAACTGCAGTCATCCTCCTATTGCGTTGTAGAAATGGCAAGAAGTCTCTTGCCTTTTTTGCAGAAGCCTTATGAGCCATTATAAAAAGGAACCAGTAAGTTACATGAACAAGACAACAGCCAAAAGCTAAGAAGGAGGTTAGACTACTAACAGTTAGCAGGTCCGTTATGTGCACCACGGGAGGGTCTTTGGATGAATGCATACCCTTCTTGCCAGCAATAGCACGTGATTCAGCAGCAAGAAGGGCATCATAGTAGTTTGATCTCTCTTCAAAATCTCGG